TAGTCGTAAGACTATTAATGACTAACATCAAATTTTCGTAGTTTCTTAGTTACAATTATTATTGTTTTTAAAATATATATATTTTTATTATTTTTTTTTTTTTTTTTTTTTTTTTTTTTTTTTTTTTTTTTTTTTTTTTTTTTTTTTTTTTTTTTTTGTTTTATTTTATTTCATTTAATTTTTGTACTTATGTGTACTGGTATTTTAAAAGATCTTTAACTTTATTGTAAAATTGAGTTGCGCTCCTAATTGTTTTGTATTGGTGCGATAGATTGTTCCCTAGCCGCATACCATTTATGAAAAATTGCCTTCTCGAACACAGTGTTTGTATTCGAGGGCATATGTAATTTTTGGTTCTTACAGATGTGGCTGGGATAAGTTTATTGAAAAGATATTTTGGTTCTCCACTCGTCACTATTTTGTGAAAGAATATTAAAATTCTGAGATCGATCCAGGAGGTCAAGTTAAGGTCAAGTATTTTATATGTCAGTTCTGATACATGGTCAAAACGTCTTAAGTTAAACACATAACGGACAACTGAAATAAAAGCTACAGTTAATGTACGCAAATCCCGCGCATCACAATTTCCAAAAATTTCTATGCCCTAAAAGAGAGTGGGTAGGAGGATAACTTTGGCGATTAATAGTCTAACTGCCTCAGTTAGGAACGATTTGGAGAATGAAAATTTTGTCAGCAGAGCATATGTACGCCCTGTCGCTTTGACTATATGATTGCTCCATGATAAAGTATTGTTAAATGTTATCCCTACATTAACTACATTCACTTCATAGCTTATCGGCGCATGGTTTATATATAATTTTTGGAGTGAAAGTGTTGAAAGTTGCTTTTTACCAATTACCAAGCACTTCAATTTTTTAGGATTTATACCCAAGCCATTTTCCTTCGCCCATTTTTCAATTAGCCACAACATTTTATTACTTATACGGACACAATCATGTATTTCTGTTACGGGTCTACTAACAAATATTTGGACATCATCAGCATATAAATGTACTTCACACTCAGACAGGATACTAGGGAGATCATTAACATATATAGAAAACAATAAAGGGCCTAGCACAGATCTCTGTGGCACTCTCCCGGATAAGTTCCGGAGAGAAGAAACTTGCGTTCCAGAGACGACTGCTTGAAACCTATTCGTTAAGTACGACCTAATACGCTTCGTCGCATTAGTTGAGAAATTAAACATATTCCTAAGCTTGGTACAGAGAATGTTATGATTCACAGAATCAAAAGCCTTGCTGTGGTTAAGGAGCGTCAAAAACGTTACGCAGTTACTGTCCAGTTCTTGTCTTATATCCTCTACAATATTAGTGATTGCAGTAATACAACTCCTTTTCTTACGGAACCCTGATTGTTTTTCGTCAAGTAGAGAATTATTAGCTAAGTATAGTTGAATCTGTGAGGACATAAGGTTTTCAAAGACTTTTGATAGAAAAGGTAATATTGAAATAGGTCTATAGTCATTGTTTGGCTTAGGAATTGGGAAAATTTTGGCGTTTTTCCATATTAACGGAAATGAAGACGTTGTAATAGCCGTGTTAAAAATATATGTAACATGGGGCAACATTAAGGGGAGCAAAAGCTTAACAAATTTTGGACTCATATTATCGAGACCAACAGCATCGGACTTGACATGCAGAATACTAGCTAGGACATCACTTTGGTTTATACATATAAAGCTAAAACTATTATCACAGAGGGGTTGAATATTCAGGTACGGATTGCATGTTGCTTCAGGTACATCTATTTCCAAAAACTTTTTGTTTATTAATTCGACATCCACCTCAGACTCTGTCTATTGTTTACACTTTCCAATACCTAACCGTTTTAGTTTGTTCCATCTGTTTTTTGAGTTAACACAGTTATTAAATTGTATGTTGTAATGCTCTTTCTTTGCTGATTTTATCTTTTTTGTTTACTTTTACCCTAGCCTCTTTGTATTGTTTTCGAAATTCATCAGTTTTGTATCGCTTCCACCGGAGGTAAGCTACATCTCGCTGACGGGTTAGGTTTTTAATTTCACTACTGAACCATGGATTTTGCATTGGCTTAATCACCTTGGCCCTTAGGGGCACAAACTTGTTGAACAAATACTGGACATTGTTGGTTAAAACCTCTAATTGACAATCTACATGACGAAGATGGTAAATACATGACCAGTCACAGCACAAAAATTCCGTTTTTAATTCATTATAGTTTATATTTTTGTAATCTCTATACGTAAAAGAATTGATTTTGCTGTCAAAGGTCAAGTCGTATGTTAAAAATTTTAGGTCATGTCTGGAGAAGGCTGGTAATGAAACCTGGTCATAATGTATGATTTTGCTAGGGTCATTGATAAGATATAAGTCAAGTAATGTATCACAGTGGCTGCTATAGTGCGTGGGAATCGTTTCGTTTACGGTAAACAAACCTAGGGATTTAAAGTTATCCACAAGATGGCTTTCTGATAATAGGTGCTGTTAAAATCACCTGCCAATATGATGTCAGTGTACTCCAACGAAATGTCTGAAAACATTAAGTAATGACCCGTAGTCAATTGTCCGATTCGGTCTATATATGCAACCTAGAAGGGTTCTTCCATGGGATTTATTGGGAAGTTATAATAGAATGTATTCGATAGTACTGTCACTTGGCTGTTTAAGTACCACTTTACATTTCAGCTTCACATTCACGTATATAGCAACACCTCCTGCAAGACCAGTACGGTCGGACCGATAGACATTAAAGCCTTCACAAATAATAGACGAATCACATAGATCATTTACAAACCACGTCTCAGACACACATATCACATCGACATTAGACTGAGTGAAAAGGAATCTAAACTCATCAATCTTCTTTAGCAAACTTTGTGCATTTAAGTGAACAATTTTTAGACCAATGTTATAGCTACTTATAGTTTTTATCATAGCACTAGCTATGGAACAAACTTCCTCATCCTGCATTGTTGTTATCAATGATTATTAGGCGCGCAATCTCAATATTCAATGCGTATCTTATACATTTCTTAAAGTAAACTAGTTTTAAACATATCTTACTTAAGAGGATACGATTTATACGCTTAAGAACGAAAGCTATCAGCTTCAGGTCCAGCCGAAGCGTTAGTGAGAGATGTAGAAAGTGGATCAGGCGAAAGATTAATGGACGAAAGTTCCTCCATACTGTTAATGCAACAGACACCCTCTCTTCGAGTGCAGCGTACGTGCACAAGGCCGCGTCGTGTAAAGACAGCCGTAAGGATTTTATGTTTTTTCATACGCATAGCCTCTTTAAAGATGAGATAATGCTCTTTTAACAATTGCTCATTAATATAAATTAACGCTTCTGAATTGAAACCCAGAAACTGCAAGCTAAGTTGTTTCTTGTGCTCGCGCCTGTACATTCCGACTTGACCAAGCAGCTTGATCTTTTCGCGTGGGTTTAGCATTTTAATTATTATTACCGGATCCACATGTGTTTGTTGTGATTTCCTTGCTCGGAAGATATCGCAGACTTTTGGTGGTGGAGTCAGCTGGAGATTAAAGCATAGCTTGTGATAGAGCGCTCTTTCTATTGTTGGAATTAATTTTTTCCCGGAATCCGTTCGGATTCTTTGCGAGTCTGTTAAGAACTGTCTAAAGCTAACTTAAGTATTTTATTAGAAAGCCAGGCAGAAGGCCAGACGTCGGCTATGGACAGAATGCTGACCTTGTACTTCGCATCCGCTGCATAGCCCGCTGCATACCTCGGCCGTTTTGGTCTGAATTAGCGCCTCGCGCCCGGTGCATTCCCCAACCGCTCGGCGACTCGGCGACTAACTTATAAAATGGTCTGCCATTGAACAGAACATTCTAACTTTCTCATAATGACGTTGAATGTTTGATAAATATTTTTTAATGCACTTGTAAAAAAAATAATACACTAGCAGCGCTTTCCAGAGTAAGTTGTCTATAAAATCGAATTTTTAAAAGCCGTATCTGTACGCTTAGTTACAATTACATTAATAATATAACTTTATTTATGATTTGTCACTCACTGCCATTTACACTGTGTATTCTATGCGCATTATACAGCGAGGCCTTTCAGAACAAACAGTTGGGAACTTTTAGAGTTGTTAGATATTTAAATCCAAAATGTGCTCAATGTAACCCTTTTTCAGTACGAACGTTCTTAAAATGGTAACCATGAAATCGATCTTAACTCAGGACTGATTGTACTTGATTTTAACACAGTGTTTTCCCTAAGTGAAGTGTAAGCGCCTGACATGATTTTTGAATGTTTGACAATGGTGCAAGCAGTCTAAACCAATTATTAGCATAGAACGAGGTAAAACATGCAACATTTTAATTTGTTGCAATTGGAATTGATAATGGAGGGACTTTATCGATAGGTTAGGTCGATAGGGCGATAGTTGCAGCAGCGGGATGAATCTGGCGGGCGATCTGGCCTTTGGAGGATTAATCCCGGTTCGCTCTGAGATTAACTTAAATGCCACTCATGTATTCAATGACCCAACTTTGGGAGAGGCCATGTAATATGGCGGGGAAGGAACGACGATGATCAGCAGATATTAGTATAGTCCAGCGGTCGGCACACACATAACATCACAAGTTTGCCTTGCATTAGTGTGAGTGTAGAAAACACGAAGTTGGCGCGCAGAGCGCTGAAGCCTGACGTTTCTCTGTCAGCAGCAAAAAAGCGCGCCGAAGCTGAGAAAAAAGGACCCGAAAACCCATGCCGAAGTCATACGAAAATCTACGTTATACGTGAGCGAGCAGCAGATGGGCAGAGCAATTCCCTATGCTCACTTAATAGCCCGCTGCCGACCGCTGGTATAGTCGCACCCATATTGTCCAACCAGGCAGATGCAGCTGGAAGTTCTAGGATAAATTTGTTGTGCTTAAAATTATATAAAAGCGAGTGATAGGAAAGTTAACATGTTATTTAGTTATTTATTATTAATCATTTATAAAGGCAGACGGGGTCCCAACACAAAGAGCCCCGGGATATTTACTTGGGAGTTCCATGGATTTCTGCGCGACTTCGTAATACAACCAGCCTCGACTTAGCTACCAGCTACCGGTGTCCGCTCGACCCGCACAGACGAGCAGCCACAAACGCCTTTCGCAGTCGACGCCAACGACATCGAGCATTTCCCGGTGAGTCCGTTCCGGTCTACCACGTCCACCTCATTTGGGAACTCCCAGCCGTCGCATCGCAAAGTTGAGAAGTACCGCCATTTTGTTTGGCAGTCGAACTGCTTCCCTTGCGCAACTCACCATAGTGCGCAAGTTTTCCTTTGTGGAGACCCGTGTTGCCGCTGACCTCCGGCGAGAAGTCTTCAGCCGGGCTATAATCGCCCTCCAGGCCTGGCCCGATAGTGGCTGAAATTTAGAAAAAATTTAAATACATGTGAACCTTGATTATTGATATTGATATATACTTCCCTGTTTAACTGTGAAATTATCCAGATTTAGACCGGAGAGCCTTATTTGTCCTCGTCGTTTGCCTTGAATCAAAAAGGTCGCGAGCATTAGTTAAGTGGTATAGCTTACAGTGCAATTACGTACCTTTTTCACCTGTCCCTTCTTTTCCACAGGAGCTCCTCAGGATTGGGTGACCATGCACTTACCATACATATTGTACTTACCATACATATGCATTAAACATTTGTAAACCCCACAATGTGTGAGTAAGCGTTCCCAGTGGGGGAGATGGAACCGTCGTAGTCGCGAGGAGGGGGCTCCTGCCGACTGAGAACGGGTGGTGCCTTGCAACATCTTAAGGGCATCTATGGTTGGGTGGGAGCGCTTGGCTAGGTCATAGATAGCCACCAAATATTTGTAGGTACTTACCTTTCTTTTCGCTCTTTTGTTCTCAGTGATGACCGATAGTTTAGTGATGTGAGACAGCGGAGCTGTCGATAATATGTTGCGAGCTGTGGCACTAGGGGTACTCTGCCCTGAGAAAAGTCTGAGCTAGCGGCACTGCCACCGACAAATAAGCAGTTTGTAACATATTTGCGCTTTTAGACTCTGATGCTGATGATTCACTAACCGGTAGAGGTGGAGAAACATCGATGTTTTTCGATGTTTGCCTGTTAAAACATCGATGTTTTCTGCACCTCTACTAACCGGACAAGGTCTTAAATAAAGACTACTCGTCGTTACCATATTATTCTTTGGTTGGTGATGCTATATTAGCCTACGTGGCCAATCAAGTTTGGCGGCAGTCTTGGCGATTTAAATTAGGGAGGTAACATTCCCCCGATGGTCCTATTAGCCCTTCACCGTCTGCTGAATCTATAAAAACAAAGGTTAATGGTCTGGAGTAAATTATGTTTTCAGCTTACATGAGAGCTTACGGAGTGTTCATCATTCAAATTAAAAATTAAATAAAATTAAAATTAAAAATAAAACTAGTCGCTCCCACGCTCCTTCCTTGTGGGCTGCAGTTGGTGGGTTGAAACGGAGAAAACTTCTTTCAGAGTTCCACTGAGCGCCATAAAAGTATTGAGACGCATTAACTTCTATATACACAGCTCTAAGTGTAAGGCACGCAAAAAGGACTCTCCAAGACTACTCCTCTTGAAACCACAATCGGTCGCCCTTTCTGGCAAGTAGTGTGATCTCTGGCACTAAGTTTCTCGATCAGTCGCCGTTCTGGGACTTCTCTGCTAAAACCGCTGGGCTCTTCCGGACTACGCCTCTTAAAACCATAAACGATCGACCGCTCGCCCTTTCTGACTAGTCCCGCCAGAACCTGCTCAATTTCCACTTGGGCACATTGCGTCTAGACAACTTTCCCTCCTCACGGTTCCTCGTAGCTGGCCATCACCGCTAAAACTCTAGTGGACCGGCTGTGCACTGCGCCAGAGCTTAGTCATGGCAAGAGTAGAAACAAATGGCCTTACTTTAGCCGAGTGATGCTCACAGGACCTCAGTTACCAGTGTCTTTCTTCGAAAAGTCCAGAGTCCAAAGTGCAATGCCGTTCCATTATTTCCTTTTGCATACGGCACCGTTGCTCGGCTTCAAAAGACTCCACTCTCTCTCTCTCTTTTTTCAAACTCTCGTTCTCCGAACTCTCGTTCTGAGATATCATTCTCCAACTTCATTCTCTCTAAACTCTCTTCGCCTTGCCGTATCTAGGCTCTAACTCGCCGCGTATCTCGTAGCCGGCCGGCCATCCTGAATAATTGCCGATGCAATTTGTGGGGAGTTATTCAACGGATTGATGGACATGGCTAGATCGACTAGGCTTGTGATCCTTATGAAGAATATATATACACTTTATAGATTCGGAAACGCTTCCTTCTACCTGTTAAGTGCTTTCTGACGAATCTAATACACCCTTTTACTCTACGAGTACCGGGAACAAAACGAACTTTTGAAAAGAAGTCTATGGTTTTAAGCGACTGGCCTCTCTGCATTTAGCATTTCATAAACGGCCATCGTTAAAATGAAATATGACAACTAATTTCTACTGCCACTATGTGGCATGGCGGGTTTGTTCTTCTTGCTAGCGGCGTTGTCACTTGATTTGCGAGTGTGTGTATTTGTGAGTGGGTTTGTTTACAGATGGGAAAAATTTTGTTTTTAATTCAATTTATTATATATAATTTAACAAAAAATTTTCCGTTCTAAAACATATGGAAATATTATCCTTAGATCGGCAAAACTAATTTTAGTTTACAAACAAATTTACTTGACTGTACACCGCATTTAAAATGTTAAAATAATCCTATCTTTTTAATTTATAATATAAATTTATAATATACAATTTATAATCAACGGTTTGCCAAAATTGCAAAGGCAATTGGCAACGGGGTACCGAGATAACAGGGAAAAAGGGCGAAGGGATAATGGGCAAAAGAGACGTACAAATAATTTTTTAATAAAGGTTTAGGTCCATGGAAGAAAAAAAATTCCATTATTTTTTTGCAAGTTTAAGAAATTCTAAAATAGTTTTGCTGAAAAAAAAATTGTGTAAAATGCTTTAACTTAAAACTTTTCTGACCACTTTAAAAACAGTTTCTTAAATGCGTACAAAGTCGCTGTGGGAAAGCTAATATCTGTAAAGATCTATATTTTGATAGAGCAATAAATAAGGGGATACGCCCACTACGCGAACCATAAGAGCTAGAACCGCCAAATTCGTTCTCAATATTGTACCGCAAAGATTCGATATGGCGTTCCGTGGCGCCAACAAGCTCAAAAAAAAGATTTAATGAGCAAAAAAATATATTTTAAATTAAGTTTGCCGCTTGTCCGATCAAGATGATTTTTTGATCTTTTTTTCAAGCATTTTATTTTTTTTTTTTCTTGCGTTGTTGCGTCGCATTTTTAAGCAGAAGGTCAAAAAGAGCGGGAGCAAAGAGAGGGAAAGAAATTACAAAACAAGAAAGGAAACTAACTTCGGCACGCCAAAGTTTCTATACCCTTGCAGGTCGTTCCCGTGGGAGCACTGTATGTGCAAAGCTTTCCGATTTTCAGAAAGCTAAAAACGAATTACAACAATTTTAAGATAATGTTCCATTTTAAATTTACTACTGTGTAAACGAAAAATAACGGTCTATGTATTTTTTTGACATTAATTATCCGATCGTTCCTATAACAGCTATATGATGAAGTCGTCCGATTTAATTTAAATTTTATTCAAAATTTTGACATAATAAAAAAATGGTATCCCCAAGAGGAGAAGTTGTCACTAAAGTTATATTTTTTTATATTTGAAAAAAAAATTGTTTCGATCATTCCCTTGGGAGCTATAGGATATAGTTGTCCAATCCGTCTCGTTCCGACTTATATACTATTTGCAATAGCTATACAATTTTGGGAAGGTTATATTCCGATAGCTTTAAAACTGAGAGACTAGCTTGCGTAAAAACGGACAGACGGGTAGACTGACAGACGGACAGAAGGACATGAAGAATATATATACTTTATGGGGTCGGAAACGTCTCCTTCATTGCGTTGCAAACTTCTGACTGAAATCATTATACCTTTTGCAAGGTTATAGCTGTTTTTATATTATTTCGTATCAATTACCCGATCGTTCCTATGGTAGCCCCATGCTACAATCGGCCGATTTCTACAAATTAAATTCAGCATTCTGAACCATTAAAAAAATTATATGTACCGAAGAAGAAGAGAACGTGATAAGAAAAACAAGGAAGAAGTCACGGGTAGGTGGCGCATTTCAATCTCGTTTTGCTGCTTGCATATCTCCATTTCCGTTTGGTCCCATTAGCTGAGTAACGGGTATTTGATAGTCGAAAAACTCGACTTTAGCGTTCTTTCTTGTTTTTGTTATACGTTTTACGATTCGTTTTAAGGAGTGTGTCTAAGAAAAATGAGCTGAAGAATCACTTTAATGTTCAAGTTGTATACAACTTATAGGATCACTTTTCAGGGCTGAGGATATACAATAATGTTTGTGTCTACGATAAAGTTAGACGGGTGTGTATAGGAAAATTAGCAAGTGGGATCACTTTAAGGTTTATGTTTTAAATTTCTTATTGGGAACACTTTTCAGGGTTTATATCTAGGGCCACTCAATATTATTTATGTATAGGATTAGAAGTTTCGTTCTAAGAACTTCTTAAACGATGCATTGAAGCGGAAAAATTGTAATGAATTTCAAATTCTGCCTCCTCCCGTATAATCCCACTACTCGACTGAAAAAGGCTAAAAATCAAGATGACTAGTTACTATGCCCCCTCACTAAAAGAAAAATTTAAAGCATTTTTCAAGCCATTTCCAATTGTATAATTTTCTATGCTGTAAAATAAAAACTGCACATTTGAACAAAACTCACAAAACTATAATTTCACACCTTCGCGCACAAACAGTCATGATTAAGGACTCGGGGGTAGGGGTGAGATTCGGGTTCGTGGGTACGGACGTTCACTTTCTCCTGCTCATTCTCAGTTTTATTCGTATTCGTATTATTCGTATCTTTCTTACACAGAGATTGGCTTTCCTTAACCTGTGTCAAAGTTGTACACCTGCGATATTTACACTTTATAGATTCGGAAACGCTTCCCTCTACCTGTTACGTGCTTTCTGACGAATCTAATACACCCTTTTACTCTACGAGTACCGGGAACAAAACGAACTTTTGAAAAGAAGTCTATGGTCAGTCCGCATACCCTTTCAGTGAACGGTCGTGTTTTTGTCTTGCGCTCCGAATTTTTGTTCTTTTTGTCCATAAACCATCGGGGTTTAATTCATATTTTCATACGTCTATATAACTTTTTATGTCCCTAACAACATCCGTTCGCTTCGCGAGTGCATAGTGATTGTTTTGTGTTTAAATTAACAAAATTAGTTTGCATGTCTAATCTCTGTGCAGTGTTTGTTGTTATTGTTTTTTCTAATTGCCTTCTTCTTTTCTTCCAAACGCTGTTTGGAGCGGTAAGTGTCTAAACGGTAGTTACCCGCTCTCCCGCACTCCCGCTTATAACTTTGTTTTTGGAACATCTAAAACTTACGCTCCCCCAGCTTACTTACTCCCGCTCATTCTCTCCCGCTCTCTAACTCTCTCTTTTACTTGCGTAGCTTTATTCTCTTGGCACTGTGGTTCGGAATATCGCGATAATGGCTGTCTGCAATTTAAAGAAATGCAAGTCGTTAATTTCGGCTGGACAACAGAGCATTCCGTGCCATTCGTGTGAGAATATTTTTCATGCAAAATGCCTTGGCTATTCGGGCCTGGTACGCGATGCAATCGACATGAGAAGTGGCTTGCGCTACTATTGTGATGAATGCATTGCTTATGAAACCCAGGCACTTCTATAAGGCGGCTTACAAAAAGCACTGATACGGAATTAATCCGGAACAGCCGTAAAAATACGAATCTGCTTGTGGCGCTTGGGTCGCAGCTCACTAGCCGTATGCTATCTGAGCCCGATTCTCCTAAGCGTAAAAAGATCGCAGTCGATAGACAACCCACGGTAGCCGCTAGTGTAACTCTCTCTGGCGATCCGGGGTCTGCAGCACAGCAGTCGATCTCAGCCGCCGCACAAATGGTACTGAGATCGAAAGCTAATCAAGATTCGGTTTCCGAATGCAAAGGACGCGAGATTTTGCCGCATGAGACGCCCGAAAAATTTGCTATAAACAATACTTTAATAATTCCAACGCCGCATGTTGACTTAACCGAATGAAACTGGTAGTGCAGCCGTAAATGCCGTAGTACCAAAACCTGTCACATGCGTGGTACCTAAAACAG